TAACCCTAAATGCCAAAATAAACCTTACTTTTATTTCCATATGAAAAAGGGATGAGAAGAAAGAAGATATGTCTTCACATTTGCGAGCCATAAATGGACGACTGGTGAGGAAATTTTATGAGAGATAGATCGAAATTGAGAGGGAGGAAACGAGAGAGAATGGGAGACGCCAGAGACAAGGTAGATGAGAGAGAGATGGTGAGCAGTTGACGGCAGACGGCATAGACGAGGGAGATGAGAGAGAGATGAACAGAAAAGGCGGCGACTGAAATCTGATGAGCGAGAATGAAAGTGGAGAAGAGGCATGATGAAAAAGTGAGAGAAACCCTAAAAAACTTTATATATTTATAGGTGGGTAAACTCGGTTCGGTTCGGGTTGAATAGAATGTATTTTCCGTGAACTCGTGAATCGAACCGAACCAAACAGTTCTTAAAAAACATAACCCAACCCTAACCGAGTCATTATTTGACCTAACCCGATAGGTTGTGTTGGGTTCGTCGAGTTCCCTAAACACCCCTATCGTGAATTACATTCATGAATGACAATTAAAAAAAGGATTTTTCTAAACAAGTGTGAATCATGCTGAATTGTGTGTGAATCTCGATTCATCCTGAATCACGTGTGAATCAATATTTCTTTTAATATATATATGTCGATCAGTTTCGATCAATTTGGGAGATATTTTTCTAATTGACCGACCTCCGATTGATAAAGGTTGAAAATTGACGGACCAACATCTATTTAGTCGGATCAATTTGTTGGCCAATCTTGTACACCACAATATAAAGTATATCACTGTAACATACTTGATATATTATATCAGTCACTAAATATATGAATAATATATTTATATTAATTATATCATTCATAAATCTTCTCCAAGTTGAAAATTTTGATTTGAAATAATATTATTGTAGATTTCTTATTGATATATAAAGCATATAAGGAATATATTTAATCATTTTAGGTATAACACTAACATAGGGTGAATTTTTAAAAATAATGTAGTTTTTTAAAAAATAATGTAGATTTGAAAATAATAACAAAATAAATATAATTTAAACAGAAAAATTACGAAACTAAGTTATGCATCCAATCTATTGACAGAAATAGATAGAGATTTGTCAAAGTAAAAAATAACGTGATTTAGATACCAAAGTGGAGTTAGGAGGTGTACTTCATTTCATGAAAATCGCATGCATGGTATGTAATTTCAACGAGACCCATACTCAGATTTACATTTAAATATTATACAGCAGATTATTTGTTGAACAAAAAGTAGGTTTGCCTATTGGCTTTCCTCCACCTTACCCTTCGTCCTAACATTTGTTTATTGATTTTGAGCATTTTTTATTTTAAATATATTTAATTTATCTATATTGTTATTTTATTTTTAAATATATTTTTTACTTTATTTTTATTTTTCTTTTTCAAATATGTTTTTTGTTAATTTTTCTTTCTCATATATATTTAGTTTATATCATTTAAATAAATAAATATATAGTTTATTTTTTATTGCTATCTTTTTTATTTTCTCTTTTAAATATATCTTTATTTATTTTCTTTTTTTAAGTATATTTAGTTTATTTTTCTTTTTAAAATTTATTTTTTATTGTTGAGTTTTAGCTTCCACCATTTTTGTTTCTTTAATATATTTTTCATCCTATTTTGGTATGTCTAATTAAATTTCAAAACATATTTTTTAAACAAATCTTAAATCAATATATTAAAAAATATAGTAGTTCAATAAATTCTAAAGTAATACACAAATATGTAATGACAACGTACAAATTTAAAATAAACATACTTAAAATTCCTGACAATTAAATCAAAAGAGACAACAAATCTAAAAAAGGCCAATTGAAATTTGAAAAAAAAATACTTAATTGAAATTGAAACATTTTTATAAAAAGAAATTGAAATTAAAAAATTAGAAAAAGAAAGGAAGGGAATGGAACCCGAGAACAAAAAACATAGGGTAAGCCAACCAGTGTACCAACATGTGAATCATGTGGTAATAAGTATAATTGTATATATTGCATGAAAATTGCTGCATGTGATTTCCAACCAACCTCAACAGGTGGCTTCCAATCGTCGAACCAAAGGTGGCAACCAATAATTGCGATTTCGTTTAGAACTCACGGTCAATGGTTACGTTTTTACTGAAATCGCATTCATTGGTTGCGTTTTATCTCAAATCGCAGCCATTGATTGGAATTCCACTAACCTATTTTTTGAAATAGTTTATGACCTACATTATTATGTCATTATTTTTTAACATAACATTATTTATATAGAAAAAAAAGGAAAAAAATCACTAAGATAAAACTAATATCGATGATATTCTTTAATAACTTTATCATTTATGTATACCAGCTATAAAGTATATCACTAATATAATTAATATACCTTAATATATGAAGTATATTATTCACATTAAATCTATTAAGTAATATACTTCATTTTAGATATTATCAATGCAAGGAGCATAATCGACTTTTTCATTGGAAATGGATTTTTTTTTTTATTTGCATATCAGAGATTTGTAGTTGTTGTTTTCGTAACTAACTATTAATTTTTTGCTATATTTGTAAGCGGTCATCAAAAGACATATATGTATAGCATTCAATTCTTTAGATCTAGTTTGACAGATATTTTATTTTTTAAAATTAATTGTATAGACACCACTCCTACCTTCATATTTCTTTATTTTTATTATATACTTTGGTAACGTTTAATTTTCAAAATCAATGCCAAATATTAAAAAAACAAAAAAAATTCAAAAGTCTCTTTTCTACTCAGAATCAATTCAAATAATATTATATATAAATAAAATAGGGAAACATATCAAAGAAAAAAAAAGAGAGAAAAAACAGAAAACTAAAGAAAAACATACCACTTCTTAATAATTATGTTAACAACGAGAGAACCACATGATCGGTTAAAACAAAAAATCAAAATAAAAATCGAAATCTTTATCAAAGAGAACGCGCTAGGTAGCTAGGTTTTGTTGTCAAGTTCACAAAAGGAAAGAAGCTGTTGATCTCTCTGAAACGCCTCCATTTGGGTCTTCTCCAAGCTGACCAAGGCTTAATTCCCCTCTCCATCTCTGGCATCAAGCACGCAAAAACATTCTTCTGCAAAATGAAAGGCGAAGCGATCCATATTGGCTTCCCCCACCCAAAAATCCGTCTCGTACAGTGGAAACCTGCACCAGCTGGTGCATGAATATAACCTCTGCTCCATCGGACTGCTCAGCTTCTCCATTGTTTCCTTCATGTGCTACCAGTAAAGCGACTCCCACTCTACGGTCCCCGCCTCCGCCCCCTTGTACTTGCTTCGCCACTTGTTCGTAAACTCCGTCTTCCTCTTCATCTCCTCCACCATGCTCCACACCTCCGTCTCAGTCTCTGCCGCCGTTGATGATGCAACGAAGAACAAGATTACGTTGCCTGTCATATATGTTGTACTGCGTAAGTGTATTATACACACTATATATGTACACCATACTTAGGTGTGTTTGGTGAAACAGATTATTAGGTTGATCACCGTTGAAAAATTGACAACTAATTATTTAATTTTAAAAATCTTTGTTTTTACCTTGATTTTATTTGTGAAACATTTAATGGATATGTACTTATTAGTTAACATCTAAATATTTTTCCCACACAAGTATGATATCTTTTAAAATACTAGATCTAAAATATAGATTTTTTTTTTAAAAAAAATGAATGAATTGTCAAAATTTCAAAAAAAATCTCTATTTTCATTTCTATCTCTTATTTATCCAACATTTAAGGATGGTGGGACAAAATAATTTTATAAAAAAATAAATATTTTCTAAAAAATGAATAATGTTAATTGGGTAAGTACTTAAATATTATTAGTGTCTAAGTCTCTTGCCAAAGAGTCAAATAGTAACTTTTTTTTTACTTTGGATAAAAATATATGTTGTAACCTCTTATTAACCTGGGTCAAGAATTATTGAATGAGCCAGCTGGACGCCACTAGTATATGTTTTTTCCTGTTGGAAGCTGATTTTAAATTTTTCTTACCCCTGATAACTAACATGAGATATAAATTCATATTTTGTAATCTTTTCCTAGTAAATGCCTAATCCACAAGTTATTTTTATTAATCTATCAATCTAATTAAATTTTCCAGTTTAGTACTAATTTAACATACCTGCTAAAGTCGACGGAAACGGTGGAACGACGTTGGTTCGCAAGTCCACCGTGAGCAACAAAGACGTTGCCGGCCGCCTTTCGAGACAGTCCACCGCAACCAAAGCGGAGGCCGAAATGGCGGCTCTATGGATCGATGCAGTGACAACTTGAACTCGAGATGGATTCTTCACTTTCTCGGAGACCATAGCCTTGAGAGCCGCGATCTTCTACCCCTCAAATACGAATCTCTTCGACAGAATACTCTCGTCTCGTTTCACTATTTTTGAACCTTGCACCGCCATTAGGCTGTCGTTGTCGCAGGCAGCGTCCCCGAACAAGCTCGCTGCATTGAACCGAGGAGGCGGCGGGGTGCCGCCGCGGGTGACAGAAGCCCAATGGTTCATGAAGTTGACAAATGTGGAAGCATCGGCCAGCCTGTGGGACAGCATAACACAAATGGATTCTCCTCCGCATTGGAATTGGGTCAACTGGACAGACAACAAAGGATCAAATCTTTGATCTTTTGCCATCCAATCATCGGAGGAGACCAAGTTGAGGATTTTGTCTCGTTGTAAATTGTGGAACATGACATCCGACATCCGACATGGGAGTTTGGTCTCCAAGAATGTGGCGCCCATGTCGTTGCAGTCGACGGCGGAGAGGTCGTCTTTGAGGCGGTCAGCGAAAGGGTAGTAGTGGGTCAGGGCCTTGGAGAGGCTCTCCTTCAGCAGGCGCCGGCCGCCGGAGCCGCCGCCGCTCTCGAAGAAATAGAGAATTTGGAGGCAAATGTAAGGGGCGTACTTATCAAGCAATGAGAGGGGCAGATGCCGGAGCTCCGGTGGGTTTGGAGAAGAGGGCTTGATTGTTTCTTTACACACTATTTCGAGCTCTTGGGAGTTAGAATTAGACAATTGTTTTGTATTGGTTTGATAAATTGTAAAGACCAGAGCTTTGTTGTATTAATAGGTGGCTTGCAGTAATCATTCAGCACAAGATAAGTGGGGTCAATGTTGTCAGTTAAAATCTAGAATGACACATGGTCTTGCCCATCGGACACCCCCAAGATTGATAAAATCTAGAGAATTTATGGCATGTCTCCGTACGTGTCACTCCATCTTGAAAAATGATCATTGAATTTTTATTAGAATAGATGTAAATGGAGGCTGAACCATACCTATTTGATGGATGGTTGAAGCTGGCAAACCTGTGGGATATATCTTGCAAGTTTATTCAATAGTGAGATCAGTCGTCTGACGCGTTGAAATGTACCTTTGGACATTAAGAAGAAAAAGGATATTCCAGAGCATACATATAGTACCATCATTGAATTTTTATTGGTAAGATATGTTATTATGTATCTATTTATCATATAGTTTGGTGAAATGAATGTCATGTTATGTATTTTCATAGATTTACATATATATAATAAATTTGAGGTGGACCTTCATGTTAAACATCACTTCTATTATATCAAGTACAAGATCTGCACCCGTTACAAAGATTATCGACACCGTTTACATAGGTACTATCGTGATTTCGAAGATTCAGAAATGGCTCGACAACGACCCTATGGACAAATTAGACAGTATATTTGGAATATGTTGTGTGATAGATAGTAAACTAGTGAATGGAAGGTAAGTTGATTGCTAATAATTAGAAATAGTGATATATATATATATATATATACACATAAATTCTTGTTGTAGGCAAAGTCGGCGAGAAACTAAGTTAGTCGGAGTAAACTACCATTTAATGATCGCACTAGCTCAAAATCATTTTCCCATCGAGAAGACAAGGTACGAAGTTGTTGTTTGTGGTAGTATAATATATGTTTTGATTGTTATTATTATTGAATAACCTATTGTAATAGAAAAATGAAGATGGGACGTATTTGAGCCCTTTCGAATTTTTCTTCGCAACACACTACCATCCGTCAAAGGGTTGGACGGACAAAGTCGCTCGTATTGCATATGTAAGTACTCATTTTAATAACGTAAATTTAATGGTAATATTTATATCGAATTCTAACTTAATATATTTATTGTGGTAGGAAAAATGGTAGAGTTTGTTGAAAAAGCAAAGGAAGAAAACCAAGAATTGAGTGAGCAAGACGCTATGCAAACAGCGCTTGAAAAACGATCGTCCTACAAAAAAGGGATGGGGTACGGTCCAAAGCCACCAAGTCAGAAACATGCAGCAGGATACTCCCAGAAATATGTTCAGGCTTTGGAGGCTAGATTGACAAAAACGGAAGAGTTATTGCAAACTCAACGTCAAGAAACTCAGACGTTGTTTGATATGCAACAAGAATAATATGAAAGAAGGTTTGACAATATGGAAGAACTTTTTCGAAGATTTACTGAAGGAGGAGGAAGTTTATCATTGAACAAGGTAAGAAATAATTTAATTAATTTATTTTCATTGATACTTTGATGTGTTGATGTGTTGATTGGGGTGTATTGTTTTGATGTTGTTCTTGGAACTTATACTCTAATGTGTTGGATGTTGAGGATTTTAATACTCTGGTGTATTGATTGAGGTGGGTAATGTTTTTGCTTGAATTATTGTTGGGAGCTTGAGATCTTGATGTTGTAGTTTGAGGAGATGGAGTGTACGGGAGTGTATTGATGTTGGAGATTGAAGTTTGGGGTATGCATGTTTTTTTTTTTTTGTTGGGAGATGTTAAAATCTTGCTTTAAATGTTGTTGGAAGTTTGAGACTTTGATGTTGTAGTTTGAGGAGGGTGAAGTGTATGGATACAGTGTATTGACTTTGTTATGAATCTCAAGTTTATTACGTTAGAGATTGAATCATTAAATGACTATATGTTGTTGGAACTTTGAATATTAAAGTTAGTGCTTCTATTGTTAGTGTTTTTTACGAAGGATTGTATTCATGTTAAAACATTGTTTTAATATTTTTGTTAGAGGTCTTTGATGCTATAGTTTGAATGGTGAAGTATGCATTGATGTTGGAGATTGGACGGTATTGAATCTATTTTTGCTTCAAATGTTGTTGGAAATTTGGGACTCTGATGTTGTAGTTTGGGGAAGGTGGAGTGTATGGATATGGTGTATTGACTTTGTTATGACTGTAAAGTTTACTGTTAGAGATTAAATTGTTGAATGACTATATGTTGTTGTTGGAATTTTCAATATAAAGTTAGTGCTTTATGTAGCAGAAATTACTTACCGCAAGTGTACAGGTCAAGCTTTAATAAAGTGGTAAGTCAAATACCGATTCGTCCTCTGGATTGGGTTTCTAGATCACTCAAGTACCACAGATACAATAGCTCAATTATATTTAGAGAATCAAAATCAAATTGGAGAATATAATCAAAGGAAATAAACATGCAATAAAAAAGATAAAAACAATGGGGAGAAAGGTTCTAGGGAATTGATTTCACTTATTGAATCTATGAACTGACTACTTAATTAATCAAGATTGAACGAATTATTAATTCTATAGGCTAAGAACTATCAAATCTCAACTGCCTCTCCTAATTGCAAGCTAATTCTCCCTACCAATTATGAAACCAATATCCCTATATAGTTTCTATAACAACTAAAGGCTTTATTGAACAAGTCTTTTAACGACCTCTAAAGAATTTCTAAATCTCCCGATCTTAAAACCCCTTTAGTTATGTATCCCAGTTCTAACTCTAAACCACCTCTCCTGAGCGTAAGATTTCAAGTCTAAAATCAATCAATCTATGGCCAGTAGATTCAAGGCATTAAGCGTAGAGAAGCATAAGTAGAACATTCATAAACATTCAATCAAGAAAATTAAACAATCAATACATAAAGTTCAATGGCTACATCAATCCCTAAGATAAGAGGTTTAGCTTCTCATATTCAATGGAAAACAATAAAATCACAATGAGAAGTCCATAACAAAACTAGAAAAACCAAGGGAAAGGAGAAGAAACTATGTTTCGTGTGTCAATCGTCCGTTCCCGAAGCGACCTCCACGATCCCGAGCCTTGAAAATTACTTTTCTAAGCTCTTAAATGGTCTCCTTGCCCTCCAAATTGGCGAAAAAGGCAAACTGCCAAAAAACCGCTCTCAAACTCCTCCCTCTCGACAGCTGCACAACCCTATTTTTATAAAAAGTTGTCGCGGCAGCACCATGGCGCTACACACAGGGCCATGGCGCTACACTATTCACAAAACACGAAATTTAAACTCCGGAGCGTCGCGGCGCTCTAGACCAGCGTCGTGGCATTATCTTCTCTGGTTTTTGGCTTCAAATCTTGTTGTTATTCTATCTTGGTCACTTTGATTCCAATTTTTCTCTCATTTTGACCCAAATAAGTCTCGTTTCCTCCCTATACTTTATTCTTGCAAAATATATCTTATGTGCTTAAATTTTTCATGAAGAAACGAAAACTAACAAATAATTTCAATATAAATCTCATAAAATGTAGCTCACAAAGTGTGCTATCACTTTATTGTTAGTGTTTTTTTTATGAAGGATTGTATTTTTAGTTTGCTAATAATGTTGCTCAAATGCAATTATTTGTGCAGGATTGAAAACATGATCTTCTGTTGATCGTGATGCTTGAAGATCTGAAAAAAAATATGTAACGATGATCTATATTACGTACGTTTTTCTTATGGTGAATATGTAAATTTCTTATTTATGTTGTGATAGGTACACATTATCTTTAATTTTGAAATTTAATGTGATTTTATTTCACTTCTATTATCATTGATTATATTTTTTGAAATTGCAGAAAGTAAGTAATATTGTAGAGATAAAAAATTTGAGCTTTTATTTGCTAGCAACGAAATAATGAAAGTGTCGCTATATTTAGTGATGAAATTGCATAACGTCACAATAAGAAAATAAAAGGACTAAATTAATGCATGAAACAAAAAAAAAAAATTAGCGACAAAAAGAATTACGTCGCTGTGGCGACGAAAACAAATACATCGCTGCAATGATAAAAACGTAGTTCATCGCTACAGCGACGAAAACACGGTTTTCCTTGCCAAATTTTGCGACGCACGCTATTTCGTCGCGGACGCCCACTAGCAACATTTATTCAGCGACAAAGCGCGCGATGTTTTACTTTTCATCGTTAAACGTGTTTAGCGGACGAAAATACTGCTTCAGCGACGAAAATATTTCGTCGCTGAATGTCTTTTTTTTGTAGTGTCATCTATTCATCGTTAACGTTCATCTGTTCACCGTTCATCGTATTTGTTCTGTTCATCGTTCACCGTATTTGTTCACTATATTTGTTTCCATCTTTGGTTATTTCTATTTCTAATTACGTTTTGTTTATTGATGTTTATTATATATTCTTTAACATTTTTTAGTATCATTTTCAATAATTATTTTATTGTTTAAATCTTGTCTTTTTAGTATAACATTCTACAATTACTACTATAAAACTGGCCTTCCATGACAATTAAATTGTCATTAACTTAATTCTTGACAGTTAATAACTGTCATTGATTAAGGCATCACATAAATGGAAAACATGACAGTTTTTTTAAATTGTTATTAATGTATTTACAATGACTGTTATAATTTATCATGAATTGATTATCTACCACAATTTAAAAATGTCACAAATAACTCATCTGATGATAGTTTATAATTGTTATTAAATGAAGCAAAGATTTTGCTGTCCAGTCATTAAAAACGTAGTTGTGACCCTTTATAATTGCCACGACAACTATTTCAATGACATGACATTTAAGAAACATCACGAAAATATGTATAACAACAGTTTACCAATGTCACAGAACCTCTAATGATGACATTCGGTAAACGTCACGATAATGTATACAATGATAACTTAAAACTGTCATAGTATATTTAATAATGACATGTGTTAAATATCACGAAAATTGGTATAGTGACAATTTATATTTTTGAGTTAAATATCATCGATGATTTTCTTGTTTAATTTTTGTTTCATATTTGAATTTAATTAATATTTTTTTCCTTAGGTTTGTTAGTATAATTCTTTTGTGAAAATATTTGAATTAAGTAAGATTCTCAAAATATTGGCATTATTCATTAGTAAAAAACATAGGTCTGATTCTCCTATAAAAAAAAATGAAAAATGATATATCCGTTCTAAAATCATGTACGGATAATTTCGTACCTAAAAAAATTAGCGTTTGTCATTCTTCAAAATTGAGAGTTGTTTGACCATTCTCTGAAATAATTTATCTTAAATAACTATATCTATTATTACCCCTAAAATTGAGCGTACACATGTTTTTGGTTACATGACATAATACCGATTTAACTTTAGTACCACTGCAGTGCCATAACTTCTTCTATTTACTTTTTATCACATGGATGTTGTATTAAAAATAATGTAGGATCCATATTTCCTTCCATTTATGGTGTAAACAAATGGAATGCAATACTCCATGCATGGTACTAAATTCTTCTCATATGAGTCATATTTAAATTGCTGAGTCATTATCTTCCTCAATATTGAGAGAAGGGAAAGATTCCACTCTATGAAATTTTACGTAGAAATAATGAGGTTTTTACCCCATAAATGTTATGTCCTGAACGAAAGTATTTAAGACAGATAATGGAAGAGAGTTGACAAAATAGAATAAGTAGGGTACTAATAAATAAAATTTTAATGAAAATACTTAGGTCCAATGAGAACCTATACTTTACTTACCCATTAAATCTACGACAATTGAGCCAGAGAAATGCAAAAGTATATAATTTTTTTAATTCTTGASCTGTCAATTTTTCAATGATTATTAGGTAAGTCCGTGCAAAGAGAATTTAAGTATTTTCTATTGTTTACTTGGAGGATACCTACTTCTTCTTTCTTTTCTTTTCTTTTTTTCCTTAGCAGTGGAGGATATCTACTTGACAGTTAATTAGCACCTAAATATTATTTTTAATCCTTATTTTAGTATTCATCTAAGGTCCCCTTTACCTATCCACAATCGTAATTAATGAATCGTAATGAAAATTTTGATTCCCTTTGATAGTCATGTTTACCAAATTTGTTATTAAATGGTGGGACTCACCTCAAACTTTGTAATCTCATTGCATAAAATTGTGTATTCTCATTACATTCCTACAACCTCATCAATTTCATTCTCATTCCTTGTGGACCCCACATAAATATTATAATTAATGTAACACTACTTTTATCCCTTCTCTTTCATCTATGGATTAGATCTATATAATTTTTAATTAGTTTTTTTTTTTATAATTTTATAACTTCTTTCCCATTTATACTCCAATTTGTATTAGTTGATGTAATTTTATTATATAATGTGATAAATTAATATTAATTAATATCAATAAATTTTTTAAATATATATTATTACTTTTATATTAGAATAATAATTATACTAAAGTTTGGTTGTTCTAATAAAAAGTATTTGATTGGATGTACTTTTGTTTTAATTATTAATTATGTATTAATATTAGATAAATTGTTATAATAAAAAATATTTACTGTGAATAAGATAGTAATAAATTAAATTAAAATTTATTATTATTGTAATTTAAAAAAGATTAGCACAATTTAAAAAAGAGAAAGGGGTATATTAGTAATGGTAATATATCTAATTTCGATTCCGATTTCTGACAGTTTTAGTAAACAACATCAATGAAATTCTGATTACGATTTCAAAAAATTTACAGTAAACAACATCAATGGAATAATATTACGATTCTAATTGATTTCATTACGATTGATTTTCATTACGATTGCTTTCCATTATAATTGCGGATAAGTAAACGTGGTCTATGTCTTAATCAAGTGAGTCATCCCCCGCGATTATTCATGGTACAATTTGTCCAACTCTTCTTGTTTTTTAGCCATCCATTACGTTACCAAAAGTGGGGGCAGCGCTGTTCTTTAAAAAAAATTAATAATAATAATAAAATTACATATCATTGATACTCATTATTTAATATTTTATAACAAATTAGAAAAGAAAAAAAACGAACAAACTTATTTTTGTTGTTTTTTTAATATTTCTAAAAAAAATAGAAAAAAACAATAAGAAACAACAACGTTACCAAAACGGGCTCTAGAAGAAATTTTAAGGAGACAAAACAAAGGTAGTTGGTAACAAAATTTTAAATGCCCGTAATATTTCAATTTTATGAAACTATTGATGAAAATATCGATAAAATGTCAACGACAATAAATATTTTTGAAAAAAAAGTAAAAATAAAAAATTGATAGTAAATATTAAAATTAACAAATAAATATTTCACACTTAATTATTTCATACTAATGATATTATGTTGATATTTTTTATATTTTGACGATTTTTTCTGGGATAATATGAAAATATTGATTTACCTTTTATATCGATATCCAACTCATAGACACCATGTCTATGAAAATTTAACACCGTGGTTGTTAATTGACTAAATATATGTTTTAATCTATATTATTTAAATCTTTTTTCAATTTACTCTCAATTGTTTAAAAAGTATCAATTTAATCTCTCATGTTTTAACATTTTTAAATTTAGTCTCTTGTTAATGTTTGATGGTAAATATTAAAATTAATCGACGATAAATTTACATGAAATAATATTTAGTGAATTAACGAAATTTTAAATGAGGAAAAAAAATCATCTTAAGAGAGAAATTTTTCTAATTCCTCCTTCAAGTTTCTAAGAAATTAGTCTAAATTTTGAGTTTTCTTCCCTTGATTAGTTTATTCCTCTACATTTCTACCAAATTAATAAGTATTATTCCACGTAAGTTTATTATAACAAATTTTAATATTTATCAATAACTAAATTAAAAAATGTTAAAACATAAGTCACGAACCTTTTTAAAACATATATTTAGCGTTGATATATGTCACACCGTATTTTTGTCCCTTGAAGCAAAATGTCACACCATGAGAGAAATTATTAAATATATTTTGAATCTATATCAAACGATTTTACAAGTCATACAGATTTTTAATCAACATTTAGCGAATCACATTGTGAAATCTACCTCATATCCAATAATTTTTGTTTGGTAATCTTTCACTTAGTGAAAGTATTGTATTATTTCCCTACTTTCGTTAATACAATTACAGAGTATTTATGAAGATATACTCTTAGCAGCTTGCTAACATAATACAAAACTGAATATTAACAGAAATAATAACTAACGGAAACAAACTAATTACATTAGTTAATATACTCTCGCAAACGAAAACATGCTAAGGCATGAGTTTGGATCGTAGAAAACAAAAATGATCAGCAGTGAGAGTCTTGGTGAAAATGTCGACAAGCTGAAAATTAGTAGAAACATGTTGAAGTATTAAATCTTTACGAACAACCTATTCGCATATAAAATGAAAATTCACTTCAGTATGTTACGTGTGACCGTAGAGGATGGGATTCCCAGCAAGTTGTATGGCAGACATGTTGTCACACCAGAGGCGAGGAGGTAGTTGGCTGAAAGTACAAAGATCACGAAGAAGCTGTCGTAACCGAAATAATTTTGTACCAGTCATTGCTAGAGAGTCATTGCTAGAGCACGGTCTTCAACCCCAGTGGAGCTTCAAGAAACATTTGACTGCTTTTTAGCATCCTAAGATATGGGGTTAGAACCCAAGAAGATTACAAAACCTGTAGACCGCCTGTCAACGGAACTCCCAGCCCAATCCGAGTAAAAGCAGTAAGACATAAAGGATTTTGACCACCCTTCTTAAATAGAAGACCACATGACAAAGTAACATTTATATATCGAAGCAACTGTTTTGCAGCAACCAAGGATGGAGAATGCATAGATTGGGACAACTTGCTCACGGCAAAAGCATTATCTTGCCGCATGAAAGTTAAGTACTGAAGACTCCTAAGACTCCCAACAATTGTACGAAAATATTTGACATCTTCACTAGAATATGGTGTAGACACAGTAGAAGAATCATGTAAGACAATTAGAGTAGTATAAGACTTTGAAGCAACCATGCCAAAACGTCAGAGAACATCTCTAGTATATTTGGTCTAGGAAATAGATATTCCAGCATGTGTTCGAGAAATCTCAAGCCCCAAAAAATACTTCAAACTATCAAGATCAGTCATATCAAACTTTATACGCAACTGAGATACCAAATCATTGATATAAGATGGATGACTACCAGCAAGGAAGATATCATCCACGTACAAAAGGATACAAGTAATGGACACATTATATCCTGCCTAATGACAAGGAGGAATTAGCAGTAGAGAGGCCACAAACCCAAGAGTCAAAAGATGAGATGTAAAACATTCAAACCATGCTTGTGAAAGGATTGAATCCCGCAGTGGGAGCGCGTGAACATTTGTGTTTCGATTTTGTTTTTGGGAAAAAATACTAAGAAAAGAGAATAGCAATACAAATAAGGAGAACCTACCTTTGAAGATTGTTCTTCAACGTAGACCAATGCCACCAAAAAGTCTTCCTTGCTATCCTCCGGACGAGAACCACTTTATAGGAACCGTCCTTTGAAAGAAGAGTTTTTTAGAGAGATTGTGAGAGAAACTAAGTTTGAGAGAGTTCTACAAAATGCATTAACGCTTCTATAATGTGCAAAATAAAACAAAACATAATTGAATTATTTAATTAATTATGTTTTTGTTTTAATTAAATATCATATTTTTAATTAGAACTTTATTCAAATGTACATCTCTCTCATGACCTATAGTTTTAATGTGTATCTCATAACCTATAGTTTTAATGTGTATCTCATGCACATCAATTTTCACCTATAGTTTTTAATATAAATCCAATTCATATTAAATTTTATTTGAATCTTATTCAAATAATTATATCATAATAATATGTTTAATTTTTTAATTTTTATTCAAAATAAACTATATATAATGTATCATTATATACATTATACACATTCCATTAGATATAATTCGAACATTTCAAATTCTCCGTTGTGAGCTAGCAAGGGACCTAATGGACCTACAGTTCAGAAACTCTAACAATACAAGATTAATTTATTAAACTCATTAGTCAAGCTAATTAACATTCGTTAACTGTTGGTCACTCCACTAAAAACCCACAACTGCACTCTTTTCACTATAGAATATTTTATGTCCATGGATTTTGACCAATAACAATAAGTCAATCCTTCACGAGTGTTTGTAACTACAATTGGATTAAATTACCGTTTTACCATTGAGTTACCTCTTCACCTTAAGTACGACTAATCCTTTAATGAACAACATGTTTATGGCTCGACCATTAAACAGAAGTCCCTCTCGAGCCAGTGAGAGGGTGAGGCCCCTTGTACAAGTCACGGAATCAGCACTTAAGAGAACACTCATCTACTTACCCTAAAGTCGGGAAGGAGTGAATTTCATCTTGTGTAGTTATGTTCCCAGCTCCCCCTGGTTCTCGTCCCAAAAATGGTAGCAATATTGAATCGGCGACCCATACCACTCTCACTAATATAAATCAAAAGACAATCACTTATAGGTAGGAGTCCATAACTCACCCAAGATTGAGATTTAGTTACCTGGTCTTCCTATGAAATAATAATCTATTAGATAACGGTGTTACAGCTAAAGATTAATTATTTCGCGGTCCAGACTTATACAAACTCATTGCATTAGGTTACCCCACTTGCATGTTTCCACATAAACGATTTGGATTAATTAAGTTGTTTATAACTATTACAAAGTGGGTCGTATCCATAGTGTTATCAGGATAAGGTACCCAACTTTACCCATATATTATAGACCATTTAGGTTATTACTAGAACATTGTCCACCTAAATATTGAATATCTACCGTATATCAATGTCGACCTTGTATATCAATTATATACTGTATATCAGTTATATACTGTTCCAGTTACATGACATAACCTTGGACGTTTAGTTTATTGGATTTTGGTTAATGCAATTCAAAAAGAAACTTCAATAATAGCTTTTTAAATAAATATTTGTTTTACATTTACAAACCACGAGTTTAAGGCATAATACCAACAAGAGCCTATTTTAGCCCACTTCAACAATGTGCAAACATGATGAGGAAAATAAGGATGAACAAAACTTCGAGGTTATTGCATATAGACCTCCCCTTGAGCCTCACCATGTAGGAAGGTGTTTTTAACATCGAGTTGACGAAGATCTCATCCAAAATGAGCAATCAAAGATAGAACAATACGAACGGTAGGTTTCTTAACAATGAGACTGAACATTTCATCATAATCTACGCCTTCTTCTTGATGATAACCTTTTGCTACCAAACAGACTTTATATCAAGCAACACTACAATCGAGATGTCTCTTAATATGATATACCCATTTGCAACCTATTGCACTCTTACCGACAGGCAAAGGAGACAAAACCCATGTACCTTATGACCCAAAGCATCATACTCTTTGGACATTGTTTGCTGCCAGACTGAAAGCTTAGAAGGTTTTGCAAAAGAGGATGGCTCCAAGTCAGAGTTTGAAGATACAACTGCAACAAAGACTTTCTTTTTGGAAATACTAGATTTTCCTCTTGTTTGCATAGGGTGAATAACATGACCCATCCCAAAACACTTACTAGTCCTAGAATGAGTTGCACCGACCATAGACCCCGACTAGTCACGAAGTCCATGGTCAACTTCTTCTTATCTTTGACTTGAACTTTGACTAACAAGCTCTAGATATAAACAGTTAAAAATAATAATCTTTACGGCACAACTTTTCTTAAATTCATTCTAAACATTCTTTTCTATCAATGTCATGCAATTCTTGAATTATTCTAAGTGGTAGAAGCTGAACTACTTTCTCCTTGAAACTCATACACAACACTGAGAGAAAACATAAGACAAAGAGGGAGCTGGAAAGCTCAGTTAGTGGTAAGTCGATAAGAAAAAAATCTCATTAAACTTCTTTCATAACCAACAGAAATTTTAAGTTCTTTCAAACTTCATAAACTGACGTAATAAACCTTTTCATTTAAATTCATATATTTGAGTAACTAAAATTAACACAATAAACTTTCTCATAATAAACTTGTAATAACGATTTCTTTATAGACAAATCAAAAAGGCAATGCTCTCAAAGCCAGGATTTTGACCAAGATTTTGAATTCGAATTTGGACCTAATCACCTTGACATTCTCTTGCGTCCCCTACAACCTAGTTACGCCAACTTCTTGATATGCTCTAAAAACACATTTTAAAAACATGTAAAACGTTCTTCTTCAAGAGAAAACTTCACACCATACATACATGTAAACCATATTTTATTCTGGTCAACTGGTGTAAAGTAATCTCAATATACACAACAAAATAATTCTCTCAATGCACGGAGTCAAATGGTCTCAAATACCTTCTTTTTCTAGGTATACTATAGCAACATATTCGTATAGCATACGAGTAATCACCTGGATACAATAACATGGTGGTTCGAAAATTTCTTTCTGCATAAAATTTTCAAATCTCGTAAATTGTTCCAAAATTCTTCTTTTATTCTTTCTAAAAACTCTTCCAACTTTTCCAAAAAACTGTTGGATGTTTCTTGGATATAAACTCTCTATTTCTAATTTTTGTGGTAATCATTTCTTAAATCTTTCTTTCTAAACAATATTTCATAAAACTCTAGAATCATTTCTGAAATTTCTTTCTAAATGCATACCATAACTTTTTCAAATATTTCTATAAAATATTTCTCTAAATCATAACACATTTCTAAAATTCTCAAACAAACACAGCAACGCTGAAATATATCTAATATATATTTTCTTGAAATTCTACGGTAATGTATACATTATCTAAAAATATTTGTAAAATAAACTACTCATAAATTCTTTGTCGTCCTCTATTCCAATTTCTGCCTCACTTGAAATATCACCTCATCCAAATTAATTTAGTTACTTAAATCACAATATCTTTAGGATAAAACCAATTATCCATTAAACAACGATCATTCTTTTTCTTCATTAAAACCCAGATCTCCTCTCTCATAATACTTACAAGGGGACCCATAATTCAAATCAATTTATTTCCTTTCAAAACCCATATGAAACCCTTTCTTCTCTAACAATTTTTTTTTCTTTCTTAATTTTTTAACCATAATTTTTTCTCTTCCATCAACAACCTCTCATATTCTTCTTCTTTTTTCTCAATTCAAACCCAAGGCCGCCTTCTTCTTCTTCCTCCCTCACCTTTCACACTTTTTTTTTTCCTTTTCCTTTTTCTGAAATTTCCCCAGTTTTCCTTAATATATACCAAGAAAATACAAATTAACTTCTTTACACATATTGTGATAATCAGATTGTGATATCCATTGCATCCAATCGTACCTTTCACGAGTGCACCAAACATATTTAGATCGACTGCCACTTTGTTCGAGATGAGATTATGGTTTGTTTTCTCAAGGTTCTTCTTGTTCGATCTCACTCGCAACTTGCTGACATTTTTACTAAGCCTGTTGTTGCTCCCATTCTTCCCCAAATGTATTTAATTCGCTATGGATCTCGTTATGAAAGGTAGATGAATACAATTTGATTTACCTTTCACTCACATTACATGTTATGCCAAATTGCCGCATCACCAAAACTACAATAATCTTTCATATAAATTAAATATAGTACTAGGTTTTTTGTAATTAGTTTTAAAAATACAATATTTTTATGAATATAATTTTAAAGTACTAGTCTTCATCGTCTTTCCTGTTTCCTATGTTGAATATGATCTTGGCAATGGTTTGTAAATCATATGAAATATACGTCGGAAAAATAATTTGGCAATGGTTTGGGAATACATTTGAACTCCAACAAAAATTAGACATATTTAATCCCATTTCCATTTATAAAAAAAAATGTAATTTATAGTGTAATATTAAGAAAAAACAAGTATATGAAAGTATACTATACATGATACATGATACATATGTGATTATTTACCGATATTCTTTTTTAGTACAACAAATTTGAAGATGTCGAGATTTAAACCTTCCCTCTCAAGAGGGATGCTTCTTCTTTTACCATTGAGGCTTCTTCTTTTACCATTGAGTTATGCTCATATTGATCAGTCAAAGGAATTTTACTTCAATGAAAAATTGAGAGAAGGAAAACTCAAACTGACTCATTCGACTTTTAATCGTGTGAATGAGTTACCCCTCGCTCAACTTTAAATTCAGCTTCTTCTTCAACTCTCTTCCTTCCTCTTCAATGTCAATGAGTTCAATGTGCTTCTAAGTTCTAAAATCCTTCAAAAAGTGCTTGTACTCCACTATCCATTGAAGGTCAATTTGAGAGTTCTTTTACAGAAGTTTTTTAATTAGTACTTTAGTGATAAAATAAAAAAAAAAGTACTTAATAACAAATCATTTTTATGATTGATTCAATATTCTTAGAAGTGTTTTAAGTGGTTACAAGTGAAGCCCTCTACAAGTATTTTCATCTAAGATTACTTCATCGTTTGAATCTTAATAGACAAACCTTCTAACCCATAACTCAAAATGAGCCTACTGACAACATGCAGTAAAAATAATCAAAGACGAGGATTAAACCTTAATTCACTAGAAAAAAAGGTGATCGCCTCCTTTTAATGGGGAAAAAACACTTTTATTTTACGTCCCAACATAATAATTTTGAGCAAAACGGCCAAAACCACTCCCAAACATACCCTTTTTTACTCATCAGTCCCGCACCTTCATTACATAAGAAACAACCAATTTATGTCACTAAAAGAAAGGCCAGAGCACCCATTTAGGGGATTTGGGGAATGTTTGACTCAAGTTAACAAGATATACAAACTGGGTCTTAAATTATGTTTTTTTGGAGAAAAGATACCTAAGTAGACCACTAGTAGATTTTTGTTTATCTTCTTTTTACATAACTAGCAATTCTAATTCCAAAAATGGCCAATTTTGTGAGAGATTTTCTATTTGAGATGTTTCAGGGATTAGGGATACCTGTGGCAGCACTCTTCTTCAGCTGGCTGGCTGATATGAGGCAGACACAAAATTCATACAAATAGAGAAAGAAAGACAATGTGAAACTTGTTTAATCCTCTATCTGGCTATGGTTTGAATTGGTATATCCTTCAATGCCATACTTTTGGTATACTGTAACTTGATTCTCTTCCCACCATCTCTCTGCTTCCCGCTCCGAAAATCTTCTTCGACTGCATACACAATTCCATATGACTACGTTAAGTTACTCCGATAACTCAAAAAAACATTACAATGCATTAAAACAAACACATGTCGAATTGAACTATAGAGCCGAACAAGTAATGGTCCCATTAGACAAATTCCAGACCTCTTAAACACATTTAAAGTTTCGGGACTAAACTTGTAATTTACCCCAAAAATAAAATCGAGAAGATATGAACTAATACCTGAATCTCACTCTCTTCAGCCCCTTGTGCCCACCTGGTAGACTTGTAAATGTAATATATACACCAGGTTCATACTGTTCTATCCATTCATCTTTCAAATAATTTGCAGTTCCATTTTTAGCGGACGTTCGGTTAGTATTCGGATCCTCCGCCGACTTATTGACGTGTCGGAATGCATGTCTCCCATATAATGATTTGAATGTATTAGAGAAGACAATGGGAGAGTTGTATAAACTATCACCAATTGGTCTGTCTTTGGGCAATTGAACCTCAGGGGGTAAACAAGTTGCAGCAGAGGGGGAGTGCAAATGGTCAAAGTTTTGGCCATCTGAATATAATGGTGTAACATGTGGTTTATTAGCATCAACTTCTTTTGCATCACTTCTACCCGAAACCTTCTCCGACATTGTATGAATCTGCAAGAATGACAGCAGTTCTTTAATCAGAGAACCGGTTAGAAAACGATTGTATTGATTTCCCCAGCTCATTAGGATTGTATAGGACGACCTATGTTCAAAAGTCATGAAGAAAGAAATGATAGAAATTACCCGGAGTGCCAAAGCTTTTATGACCTCCTTTGCTACCTTACATTTCTCGGCTTCCTCCCTTGCGACAGACCAAGCTTCTTCTATCTTTTGTCGACATTTCTGCATCTTCTCGTCTCCATTGTGACATTGTAGCTCCAGGCTCTTCACCTTAAAGGATATAACAATTTAGTGAACAACTCTTTTGGAATGACACCATCGAAACTCAATCCAACAAGAAACAAATTGCATACTTAAAATAATTAAAAGTTTAGGAACTTAGTAGACATTTTTTTAAGTTCAAGAACCTACTAGACACAATATTGAAAGATTAAGGAATGACACCGTCGGAGATTTGCTCCCCCATACCAGGGGCACCCGTGCCTGTCCCAAGGCTTGGACCTGGGAGACATCAAGGATTTTTGGTATTAAACTCACTGAAAAGTTCGAACTTGAGGCCTCTAAACCAATATGACCAAGAGACCCCAAGCTCTTGTCAACCGGACTGCCACTTGGGGGCATTATTAGAAAATTTATAGTTCAAACATTTATTAGACGCAACTTTGAACTTCATAGACTAAACTTGTAATTTAACTAGAATACGTAGAAAGAGAAGCACGTGTTTGAATACCTCAGCTCGTAGCTTCTGAACTTCTTCACTTAGCTTCTCACTGGACCCATACATAAATCTCTCAAGACTGATGACACTTGAATTGGGGGATCTCAGGTGACCTAAAGCATTTACAGTTGTTTCATTTTGAGATGATGAAATGAGAGTTTTCGAGTTTTCTCTATCGCACATTTTAAATGAAGCTGGGCACGAAACTTGGCCCCAACTTGGTATTCCACCAGACTGAAAAGAAAGGTGTTCTAAATGCTGTTGGTTTTCCCCTTGATTTATGAATTTCCAATGAGACTGCATCTCCTCACTATTTTGTTTTGTAGGTGACAACAGTTGACAATGCTTAGAACTCATACTTCTCTTATCTACTCTGTTAAAAGCAGATGCTTTCTGTTGCAGCAATAAATCCTGTGACCTTTTATTTTCTTGCTTTAGTGGCCTACCCAAGTGAATATGTCTCTGTAGATTGTTGAAGCAGGGATCACAAACTCGAAAAGGTTTAGTTTTGTTCGGTGCCAAAGCAGCGTTGGTAGTTTTTTTACTGCTGCACATCCGGCAGAAGAAGAGACCGCAGTGATAGCAATTGTGCTTCTTCCTCGTAAACCCGAACGACAATTTACATCCATAACAAGCAGATTGGTCACTCGAGGTGATAGATCTATGCAAACAGATTGCAGCTGTGAAATTTGACCCACAGGCTATACTTTCTACCTGCTGGTCTCCTAGAGCTTCCACAAAAGTAGGTAAGTTCCTATCATCGGGATCGCCCAATCCTAATTGTCCGTATGCACCCTTCCCCCAAGTGTAAACATGTCCTGTCGACGTTAATGCCGCTATATGAAAGGAACCTGAAGATATGGCCCTAACAAACTCTTCTTTGAGCTTCCCTTCAACTAGGGTTATAGATGCGTCCTTGGACCCCGGATTTCCTAGTTGCCCATGTACGGAACTTCCCATCGTGTAAACTCTACCCAGATTGGTGAGCCCAGCAGTCAACATTCGTCCACAAGAAACTTGGACAAAATCATAATCAACAAGTGGGGCAACACACGTCGGTAAGAGCTTACATGCGTTATCAGCATGGCCCAACCTTCCTTTATCACCATCACCCCATGTAAACAATTTCCCAACAGCACTCTTGAACTTGAAACGGTCAATCATGATATCAACTATAGCAGCTGTGTGCCACGATCCACACGCAACTGATTTTACCCACAAACCATTTAAAGATTCAACCTCTTTTGGCTGGGAAAGGCTCGTAAGATTCCCATGTCCAAGAGCTCCAAATGTTCCATCTCCGTAAGTAAATAAACGCCCACAAGCAGAAACAACCGCTGTATGCCATTCTCCACAAGCGACGTTTGATATGCTTACGCCATTCAAAGGACCAGAAAGTTTTTGTGGCAACCACTGACTTCTAATCTTCTGCTCACATTCAAAATCAGCACCAAACCTACCATCACCCCATGTATAAACTTCTCCGGCACTTGTCAGCGCACATGTCTGATATTCACCACATGCAACAGATTTAGCTGCAATCCGACCAAGCGAGTCGACAAGCTTGGGATGGTCCAAATCCATATTAATCTTATGCCCAAGTCTCCCACCCTTCCCTTCACCCCAACAGAAGACTTCCCCATGCTTGGTTACCAGGGCTGCATGTTTCCCTCCTAACGATACGCTTTGCACATCCAACATCCTAGTTGATTCTAGAAGTTTCGGTAACAACGCATCTACATTCATTCTGTTCTGGCTAGCAGACCTTTCGTTTCCACCACCTATAAGCCCACCTTCTATACCTTCTCCCCAGATCATGACATCCTTCAGAATATTGTTCTTTTCGATTTGTGGAGATGTATGAACAGGTGCAACAAATCTACTGAGCACATTCTTTTCATGAACCATTTCAGCTGTCGATCCCCTCTTAAATGCATCATGTTCAACAAGAGGAGTACATCGAGCAGAGATGTCCCCTTCACTTGGTCCATCCGACGGATAGAAGCTATCAAAGGAATGAGATAAGCCATCAGAAAGGCATCTTTCTGAAAGTGAAAGAGTAGGACTGCCACACAAGCTGCGTACCTTCAAGCATAGTACATTTTAGTTGAAGTGCAGCCAGGAAACAATACACGTAACTCTTAAAAAACTGAGAACTTAAACATCTCATGAAAAAAAAAATGGTACTTTGTTATGAAGGATGGGAGAATATAAAATTAAACAATGATTTACATACTGATTGTTGAATTATTTTACACATTTCCAATCACACAGGAAGATCATCAGCTAACTATGGATATAATAGTGCAGCCAACAGACCAGTTATTGTTTTGTCCTAGTTTCAATTTGGTCCTTATGGTTAGAAAAGTTTTAATTGTTTCCTATAGTTTAGGCTTAATTTCAATTTGGTCTTCATGGTTGGGTCAAACTTCACATATTTACTATTTACATGGTAATGAGCTGGTATTTTTTAGTTTGCTGACTATGATAACTTACTACTTTAGGGTTTTATGTTCAAGTAAAAAATAAGAGAAGTGACTTTCTACATGTATAAAAAATGATTTGGTAACGATTAGTGAAGTTAACCAAAACCAAATAGAAACTTTTAAAACCGTAAAAACTAAATTGAAACTAAATTCATATTATAGGCACCAAATTGAAACTTAGCCCAAACCGTAGGACCAAATTGGTACTTTATTCCAAAATTTATTTCAAGTCCAAAAGATTTTATGTCAATTATACGCTATCCTTTTTGGTTCCATTCTTCAAGATACTAACTAACAAGAATAGTTCTCTCTTGTCAAACTATGTCATGACTTGCCTTAGAAAATTAAAAAGCATTGCATTGATTAGATAGCGACTTCATACTAATCTTTCCTGGGTATGGATCGGGCTATTTCCATCACAAATAAATATTATTTTCACAGATGGGCGAAGAGAACCAATAAAATAATTTCTAGAGGTTAAAGATTATAGCAAGGAAATGAAGGGCTTGGGTAAGTAAAACCTGTGGAAGGTCTGTAGTGTCCTCCAGAAGTCCAAGATTGTACTTTCTTCTAATAAACCCAGCAGGACTGTTAGCACAAGATACAATCCCTCTGTTATCCCTTGAACTAGCTAGTGATCTTGGATGGTGATTCCTTGATATTATAGATCTCAATCCAAGAAACCAACAATCTGCCTGTGCTTTGTCCTTGCATGTCTGCACAAAAGATGAAATGAAGAGGCAAAAAAAGCCGAAAAAAGCCGAAAAAGAGGCTTTTAAACATCATCTTTGACTAGGGACTAGGGAGGTAAAATTTCTAGCTCCGCCCTTGATCTTTACTAGTAAAAAGCTCAAACAAAGCTTATAATAATGAAGAACAAGTTTTACCAGATCAAGTGAGCGTTCGCCACTAGCATAAATGAGCGAAAAGGAATGGGACTTTTTGGTGGGTTGAAGTTGGTTTTGAAGGCTTGGCTGATTCAAAAGCAAGAGCATTTAGACGAATGTAAAAAGCAAAAAGGTTGAGTAACAAAAGTTAACAATAAGAAGCATTGGATTTCTGTATACTTACAGACATCTTTCCGGGAATAATTTTCATTACCAAGCTTAGTCGCAGTTGCTTTTCCTCATGCCCTGAATACCAAACCAAGAACTTTTCGTCCTGAATCGAGAAAATTAAAATTTGTATAAGAAAAGTGCCCAATTAATTGAGCTTTTGCAGCAAATAAGAACATTTTTAAAAAATCAATCACACATAATAAGATATAAGGTGGGTCCTAAGTCACACAGAGGCAGGTTTATGGATTTTTACTTATATGTGCTAGTGATCATCTATTTCCATAATCAGAAGAAAATATACAAGACACTTCTTTTCCTTCTGCTTTATAATTATATACCATCCTTAAAAAATATATAATTTTTGAGATGCAATTTCTAAAGCATCATTGGCAACAAATTTTTGTTCAATATTTTATTGTTAAACAGACACTAGATAAGCAAGGTTAAAAGACTTAGACAGAAGTACAAAAACAATGCAAGGTAAAAAGTTGAGATTAACAATGAAGATCAAGAACCACTTATCACCGCTAAAATACACTGAACCAAAATTTTTAACAGCACAAGATCTAGAAGACAGAGAAATCAAACAATTTCACCAACCATGCTAAGTATTTTGTTTTCTGCCATTAAAAATATAACACAGCACCTTCCACTGTCCCTTTCCTAATGCTAGCTAGAGTTTTGTGGTCCAACACCGTGGTGGCTATCTTGTGGAGATTATGGAATGAGGGGAACTAGAGGGCCTTCAAAAAGAAAATCTCCGGTCTTGATGAACCGTTGTTCTCTCGTTTCAAACCTTTTTTTTTGTAATTATGATCTTGTACATATTTTGACCAATTGAGCCTCCTTTTTAAAACCCTTTGGTCTTGCAGGGATACCTCATCTCCCCTCTCTTTTGCACGCTCCTCCTTCAATATGGTTCTTAGTTTCTTATCAAAATATTTATATGTATGATACATTCACCAAAAACTATGATAGGAAAATGAAATATCAACAACAACTCGTCGCATTAACAATCGCGAGGCTTCTAAAACTCCACGAGACGATCCAGATGACGATTTCGACAGAGATTTAAGAAAATGTTCCAATTAAACTTATTTTTACTCGTCTAGTTTTTTATAAGAAGACAGAAATATGAACTAGCATTTCCATACCACACATTTCTCAACAAAAAGCATTCTAAATGCTGTATATCCTAACCATGGAAAGCCTGAAAGGGCAGAATTTTGGTTTGCCTCTGCGCCTAGACTTTAAAAGATAAGCCCCCTTCTTCATAGACAGAATTGCCTGCACCAAAAAAGGAAAAATCAAAACAAAACCCTTCAAATAATATTTTGATAAGAGAGAAAATGAAGCATTACCTTATACAAATCTGATTTATGTGAAACATTTTTCCAAAATACTTCAGAAAAAAATATAAGGAACTTCAAAAATGGCATGAAAAATTGTGTGATTCTGATTCTCTCTACTCAGTATACTTAATACTATGAAGGAAACAGAACTTAAGAAATTATAAGGAATTTACATTTTAGACCATAAACTTTATACAGGCTCAACAATGAAGAAGAATGGATGCCAAAATGAACCCATGAAGTTCCTCAAAACTTACAATCCAAAATTTAGCATCGTTGGAAAAAAAAAATTGAACTAGTGGGAAATGCAAACTCTCTTCCAAGAAATGGAATCAGTAAGAGCAAAACTTCTCAACACCCCTCAAAGAAGAAAGGAAAAAGGGTTATTTCAAAAGGGTAATGTGGGAAAATTGAAAAGAAGAAATCAAAAATGGAAGAAACCCAATACAATAGAAGATACCTGCTCCACTGCTCTGTCATGGAGGAGTATTGACAAAGATTCTTCACCCATTTTCTTCCCTTAGAGAATTCCTCAGCTCACCAACAAGAAAAAAATCTTCACAAATACAATGTGGTGAAACTTGAAATGAAATAATTAAAAGTCTGCACTGCAGAATAAATGCTTCCTAATTCCTATGCTCTCCACAAGAAATACAGAGTGAGAAGAAGAACAATATTGAGAGACAGAAATAAAAAGGTTTTTTTTTTCTTTTTTCTTTTTTTTTTTTGGTTTGATTAGAGAAGAAAATTGGGATCGAGGAGAAATGGGGTTGTGTTTTCTCTCACTAAAATTGGGTGGAATGAATCTGTTGAGCCGTATTGGGAAGTTTTATTTTCACTTCGTTATTTGTGCAGAGTGGAAAAATGGAGAGGAGGAAGAAGAAGAAAGGAGGGAAGCTTTTATTTAATTTTAATTTATTTATTTATTTTTAGTAATGTAATGGGAAGAAAGTATTATAATATTAGTAATATAAATTATTAAAATATTAAAAAGGGAAAGAAAAAGAAAAAAAAGGACTGAAAATCCAACTGCACGTGTAGAGCACATTACATTAGAATTACATGCAATTTTAATTTAGTTTAGAACTACGAGTTTCATATTTCCACGTCCTGTCTTGTCCTTTTCTATCTCTCTCTTGGTTTTCCAATCTAATTTTTATATAGAGAGAAAATATGTCTTTTAAAGGTTAAATTATAAATTTTGTGCTCCATTTAAAAAATAGGTGAAGGCAGCACAATTGGGATTCTATTCCTTATTTTCAAATTTATTAAATTGAATGGATTTTATAGATATATGTTTATCATATTTATTTCAAAAAAATTTCTGAATTTTATGATCCCAGCGGTGTAAATTCTGAAGAACAATATTTTTCTCTTTTTAATGTGTTCATGTTTTAAATTTTAGAATTTAAAATGCCCAATTACATTTGAAAATATTAAAACATGGAATACAATTCTATTATTCATTGAATTCTTCATAAAATTTTAATGTTACATATGATAAGTCTCCAAAAGAAAAAAAAGTATTGACATACGTTAAATAAAAGCTTTTAGTTTAATTGTTGGGATTTGATTTTTTAATCAAAATCCCATCCTATAGTTTTGGAAATTTTAAAGAAATATACCATTTTCCTAAAATATTACAAAGTAACATAATCACGAAGATGCAAGAAGAAGTTTTAGCATTGCATCTCGAAATACTCAAAATCTCATTTCATAAGCAAGTTTTCAAGAAACACTCAAGTTTTAGTAACGGTCATCCGCCCAAGTCGTAAAAAATAAATATAGTACCTTAGATTAGCAAAGTAAAATTCTTAAAAAAAAAAAAAGAGATAAATAAGCATAAAAGAAAGCTTTAGAGAGAGACAATCATATAAATTTCAATGATATTTAGAATAATGTTTGTTTAAACTAGTCTATAATCTTTTCTCAAACAAGAGAAAATCTATAAACTTATGTCAATACTAATAAAATAAGAAAATAATTACGCAAATGTATATTTTATTAATTATCAAACGACAAATTCATAAATTGCTAATGGTGGCATTAAATGTGTCTACTTTAGATAAGATTTTGTTACTTTGTAATATTTTAGGAAAATGGTATATTTCTTAAAAATTTCCAAAACTATAGGATGAAATTTTGATTAAAAAATAAAATCCCAACAATTAATAATTTTCCTTTGTTGTCTCTTAAAATAAATAAATAAACTTTCCTTTATTGTTTCCACTCTGAACTTTTTCTCTCTCCAAACTTGTGTTAAGCCAGCCACATATGGAAACTTTATTGATGCCCGTCGACAATGGGTCGGAGAGTTACGCCCATGAAAAAGGAAAAATTGAAACAAAAAGTTGGTTTAATTAAATGCTATTTTTGTTTACTTTGGTGTAATTTGGGCGATCTAATGTCAAAACGTCTTGGTCTCTGGATTTTTTACTTTGGTTCATTACGTCTATTTTGATTTCTGTACTTGTACTTCTAAAAAATATTATTTTGATCCTTTTATTTTTATTTTTATCTATTTTTTAATCATAATTTTAACATGACACTTCCGTCACTAAATTTCTTGGAATACAACTATATATTTGTATTAAATTATTTTCATTTTGTATTAAAATTCATGTTGAAATTTTATAACTAAAGATTAAATTGGTCACCTTTAAAAAGTATTATAGAAAAAAATGAACCTTTTGAAAATACCATAACTAAAAAATTAACTAAACCCTAATGAAAAGAGTCAAATCTATTGAAATGGTACATTTTAACCTAAAATTTTAGGTAGATTAAAAATGGAAAAGAAAACTTGTTTTATGAAGATCGAGATAAATATTTTTTAGATATTAGGAATCTCATTATGATCAATCTAATTATGCTAGTATCTTTGTAGGGTTTTACCATCTTTTTTTTAAAAAAAAAAGAAGTGTTTAATGATTAATCTATCCTAAAAGAGTGATTAATCAACCCTAAAACTTTGTGAACCTGATTATTAGTTAGATAAAAGATATATTTTAACCTAAGCAAAACTCAACTGATGATTTAGACATCTATATAACTAAAAAAGAGTGAGCTTGATTTTACCCCACAGATTGTAAAAGAAAAAGTAATAAAAATAGTGTAGGTGCATAGGTTTTTACTTATTTATTTACTTTTACAAGTAACATTGAATAGATTGAATTGCTACTCGTTTTAATAAAATAATGATGTGTTTGGAAATGTTCATGTTTTTTGTTTCGGTTTCTTTTAATAAAAAAAATTGAGTTTGGTAATTATTTTCTATTTCTTGTTTTTTGTTTAATTTAAAAAAGAAACATAAGCATGTTTGATAATCATTTTTGTTTCTTGTTCTTTAAATTTTAAAAAATTGTTAAAGATGACGGTATCCAATACCTCAAAGTATCTCACAATTGTATGATATGTCTACTTTGGTATAACTCTCATGACCTTACTTTTGGTTTCACCTAAGAAACCTCGTATATAAGACACTTAACTTTTTCCATAATTGTTCTATTTAGCCTTTATGCAACTCCACTTTGTTGTGAAGTGTGTCTAACATATCCGTGTCTCGTGATGCCACTACATTTACAGAAATTACTGAATCCTTCACAACTAAATTCAAGTCCATTATCTATTGTTTGCGTTTCTACCATTTTCTTATTCTGAGCTATTTAGAATAGCGTAAACTATCCCTATAAACCAAACACAAGTCCTTCTAACATGTTTTATCGAAAATGAAGGTGCACCTTGTTAGTATAGGTAGTGACTATCAATTCTTTAAGTCTTTCTTGACCATTCATCTCTAATCTCAGGATCCCTCTAATTCGGATGTGGTATCGGTTCATTCATGTACCCCTCCTCTCTGCTCGGGCGTCACAAAATCAAAAGCTTTCTTCTTCTTTTTTTCCTTCAATTTGCACACATATTTTTAAGGTCTAATCTTTCATTATCCAACCAAAATAAGCCAAAAGATTGGCAATTCAATCTATTTACTTATACAACCTTTCAATCAAGTTTTTATTGTCGATTAATGTTAAAATTAATTGACAAAATGATGAGGTTAAATTATAGAAATACACTTTATTAGTTAAAAGTACCTTACCTTCTAATTTGATGAAATAGACATATTATTACTCGCCCATAAATCATTTTATATTACCTAGTATGTAATAACTTCCTCGACCTGGAATTTGCTCGTTATTCAAGAAAATTCACTCGTTAAAATCAACCTGACAGAAGTTACTATTTTTATACTGTTTTTTTTTTTTAGGATAGTGTGTTTGGGAGTGATTTTGGCAACACTTTCATTTTCATTGAACATGTTTGTCAAATTAAAAAATTGATTTTAGGAAAACATAAAATCACTTAATTTTTTATCACTTGAGTGGTGATTTTGGAAAATCAATTATTCTTAAATCTCTATCTTCAAAATCACTTCTTCTACCATCATTCCCAAACACACCATCAATTATTATAAAGTACATTCATTGAAAAAAAAATCAAGATATGAGAATTGAAAATTTTGGAATATTAAGAAAACACTCAAACATTAAGAATTAAATAGTGTATGTTTAGACTAACAATATAATAATGTGGCCGCCATTCCATGACGACTTTGTTTTTAGTTTTTTATTTCTATAAACTATGTTTTTTTACCATTTCATTAGGAAGTTTTTCACTCTTACATATTTAAATTTTTAGTCAAAATTTTTTTTAAACAAAAAGTTTTTCAAAACTATTATTGAATGATAAAATTTTGCCAATTATAAATGTCACGTCATTATTTAAGCTAATGACAAAATTATATATTGCCAAATTTGGTACCAACCAAAAATTTATAGGTGCCTCCAAATTAAATTGCAACTACATAAAATTGACGAAGCAAATAATGCCACGTATCTTTCTTATTGGCTAATCGGATCAGTCCATAAAAAGATTAGACTCAAACCATATAAGCTTATGAGAAGAAGGCTCGCACAAGACTCACGAAGACTCGAGGTCACCTCTCATTTGAGGATATTAAAATTCAGAAAGATTCAGATTCAAAGCTAAATTGGGGATTCATTTAGAGCCATCAGAGCCATCTAGAATTCGGAGCCAAAGATTGAAGATTCTTTGAAGCCTTGAAACTAAAGACTTGAAAATCAAAAGACATTGAAGTGCTGAAGTCTGTCAACAAATTGTCGAAGAATTTTATCAAGCTATCAGATTAGAAAAACTTCAACAAGCCAAAGAACTACATCAAGCTACAAGCCTAAAAAGTACTTCTTCAACAAGCTGAAGAACGTCATCAACTTACAAGTCAAAGAACTTCATTAAGTTACAGGTCGAAGAGCTTTGTTAAGTTACAAGTTGCAAACTTCATTAAGTTACAAGCTAAAAATTTTATCAAGTTACAAGCTGAAGAACTTCATCAAACTACAAGTTGAAAAACTTCGTCAAGTTACAAGCCAAAGAGCTTCGCTAAGTTACAAGTCATAGACTTCATCATGCTATAAGCTGAAAAGACCTCAAAGATCTTCAACAAGCTCAAAGTCGAAAACCTCAAAAATCCTTTAACAAGCTAGAAGTTGAAGGCACCAATCTCCTTGATACGAGAACAAATTCTTCGGCCATCAAATCAAATTTACACCCGACTCGAGAGAAAGCATTAGAAGTTAACATATTAGAAGTTGTATTACTTCTACATTCATTAATTCGAGTTCATCCTCATGAAAATTCTGCGCAACCAACTACTTCTTTTTATTTTTCAAATTTAACTTGGATTTCATAAAAATTATATAACAAAAACAAAATAAACATAAAGTAATGATTCTAATTTTCTAAAAGAAGAAATAAAAAATAAAATGATTATTCGAGGTAGTCTTGATAATTGTATTTTTTTTTTTTTTTATCCAT